TTCCACCACTCAGTTACCACCTCCTTGGCTGTTCTTACCACGGTAAGAACAGCCAAGGAGGCTGGTAACTGAGACTAGTGAAGAGTGCTGCCTGGGGACAGGTGGTGTCACTCTGGAAAATCCCAAGGACCTGAAGGATCATATCTGGCCCTGGGGGCTGAGGTCACCTATCCCTGAGCTATACCATCTTTTTGAGGAGTCATGAAGGCAGGATCTGTTTCATCCTGAGTTGCATTGTTTTTAATTTGTCTATAAGCTGTCTTGGAGAGCATTAGTAGAAAGTAAATGCAATAAGTAAAATAATGGAGCTCTGGTTTTCCAGGCGCTAAAGCACACCTCAGTATCACATGGTAGCAACATCTTTGCCTGAATCAAATGAGTGTGGATGTTATCAGGCAGCAGGAGAAAGCCTTGCATCTCCAAGGCATGGATAAGCATAATAAACTGCTTAACGGTTTCATGAGTTGAGGGTTTTGATGGTTACCCCTTGGGAGGCGTTGTGCTCTGAGCAAAGGTGCTTCTCTATCATTAAAGTCAATTGGACTGGATGAGTCATAGCTGCAAACTATAGGAATATGTGCATATGCCTTCCATGAAAGTGCCTGGGGTTCAGAATGAAACCTGATAAACTTCGGCTAATGTGTCCAGTGGCTAGACTACCAAGCACATTATGGAAGCAAACAAATGACTTGAAGATTTGCTTTTCTTATAGGAAACCACACAACTAAATAAAGGCATTTTTATTTTATTTTTGCAGTCTAAATACTGTACAGATTTTATAATTCAGCCTTTCTTTTTCCTTATTATAAGGCATCCTTTATCTCATTCCTGTTCTCTGGAGTACTTATCTATTGGTATGTGAAAACCACTTTAGTATTTAATCACTAAAGTAATAAAGCTTAGTTCTGAATGCTTTCACTAGCAGTCCAGGTTTTCTCCACCATGTTAGCAGTGTTTTCCACTATCTGGGATAATGAACAGATCCCCCCCCCAAAAGCAGATCTTTTTGACAACGTTTATTACCCATTAACATGCAAAATAGCCCTCAAGGTATTCTATTAAGAAATAAAATGTGGACGATATAATTGTGTTCCTAATTATATTCCAAATTATACCCCCATGTTGTCCTATAATGCTCTTCTTTGTGTAATCTTCATTTTAAAATTAATATCACCCTCGGCTTTCAGGCTGGAATGGAAAACAAAAAATAAATAAATGAAATGATCTAATAAACATGTTTTCTTTCATCAAAATGTGGGGAATTTTTTTCTCAGAGTTTTGATGCCAGTACCTAAGAGGAATAACAGCAGGGCAAGATTTGCCAAGTTCAATCAGAAGCAAACTTAGTCTAGTTCATTCATAGCGAACCTCTGGCCCTGTGGGTCAAATTAGGCCCATGAACTTCTTAATTTGGCCTTAACTTCCCCATTTTGGGAAATTCATACCTGTCTAAAAGTGGTTCACTTGCCGTAGGTAAGAAGCAGACAGCTGTTATACCTGAGACCTGTTGTCCAGTCTCATGAGCTGCAAGTCTACTCACACCAGGCATGCAACACTGCATCTGGGAGTGTTGTTGTGGCCGGCTCAGGATAGGGGGGAACTGGGCTGCTTGGTGCATGCATACATACACCCCAGCACTGGCCATCTTTCCACACCTGCCCAATTTGCTCTTTGTTCCAATGTAGGACCACCAGTCACTTCAGGGCTAAGTAGAGATTTTTTTGCCTGCCTGAACCTTTGCAAACAGTGTGTCGTTCCCTCCCCCCCGTCCCCCCAGCTGTGCTGGTTTCAGGGATGTTGGTGTTTAGGGGGCAGTGCTGTTAAATAAGTTGATTTGGTTGCATGGTTAAGTTGGCCACATGGTTGGCAGAGAGGTGCAGGAAATGTTAAGGTTAGATAAGGTAACGGGTGGTCACCCTTTGAAGGTGAAGGGTGTTTCTGGAAGCCAGCTGCTCTGGATTGTGGGGTCCTTGGCCTGTATATGGAACATTCTTGAGGCTCACAGCTGCCTGAAGCTGTGGATCCTAGGAGGGGCTGAGGTAGGAAGGTCTCCTTACTCACCATAATGTGAGGCCCAGGCTTTGAGGCTATGACTTGTCACGCCCCTTGAAATGGGCAGGGTTTTGCTCACCCAATGTTGAAGTTACATTAGCTTCCTGCTCTTCTCATTTGCCCCTGCATATATTTTAAATAAAATGTGGCCGTAGTTCAACCTGTGACTTGTGTCTTGTTTCTTTAATCCTGGGTTTGATTAAGACATGTTTATTCCCCTTTGTGATTTACTGCTTTGAACAACTGTTTGTGTAATCTCTCTCTCTCTCTCTCTCTCTCTCTCTCTCTCTCTCTCTGTGTGTGTGTGTGTGTGTGTGTGTGTGATCTGAATGTATTCACTCTTCTGGAAATATTTAATCTTGCAAGTTGTTGTTTTACTATACAGTAGTAGTAGTAGTATTTTTTTGAATTTTAATTGTATTTTATCATTTTATGACTGTGAGCTACTACATAACAATGCTATTGGGCACCCTTATACAGATCTAGCAAGCAAGCATGTTAATATGGCCAGCTCTGTTGCCATCATGCCATTACTTCATCTTCCTTTTTTAAAAAAAGCTTTTCAATTATTCTTCATGTCATACATTTTGTGATCATCTTCAGTTTAATTCATATATCTTAAGTAGTCATATTTTGGCCACAAAAGATGTCTAAATAGCTACTGCTGATGACTTTCTTTCTTTCTTTTTTGCTACATGTGCTAAAGGTATGCACTGACCACAATATTTGACTTGTATCTGTGGCTCTGGGACTAATCTGTTTTGGAACTACTCTGTATCTTTCCAGTTCAACTTATTATTTGGGACCAAATTACATCTGTTAAAAACAAAGTTCTGTTTTCCACAGGGAGAACAAGGGAGGGTATCTCTAAAAATGGCTGTAACTTCTTTTCCTTTTCAAAAAGGGGGTGAAGCTTGCAAGCAGATGTGGCCAGTGTGGCCAATGGTCAGGGATGATGAGAGTGGTGGCCCAGCAACTTCTGGAATGGTTCCCCATTCCTAACTCATGGCATCTACTTTAGCCCCAATTCTACCCTAAGGTTGCCTCCATTTTCCTGACAGTGTTTCTGTATCTTGAACAGTAGCATCTCTGGCACAATCACAGCAGGTGAAGATTCCCACATCAATAAACCTCAGTCAAGACACTTCATGTGTTGAGTTCATGTGCCACGTGGCTGTAAAAAGCACAGTTTCCTTTTTGGGGGTGGGATGTGAGGATCTTCTTGACCCAACCTCTCAAATGAACCACATCAGACCTTGATTAACATCTGTGCTGCTTGCTTGCATTTCTCTCCAGGTCCTCTGTTCCTGCCCCCACATTCAGTCTCTTGCAGGAGTCTCAGAGGGCAGGTGGCTTCTGCCAGTCACCTTCTGCCTGACAGAAACAGCCTGCCCTGGGGGAATACTGACAAAATTTCATCACCTCTCTAATGGTGGCAATTCCCAGATGGATAAAGGAAACCAGACAGATGGAAGTGAAATTACAGCATGAGCCACAGCAAATGCTGCTGCAGACACCATGGGAAATATACCTGCAATAGAAAGATGGTGTTGTAGGTGATCTTTTTTTCTCCACCGTGTGCTGTTATATGGGCTTCCTGGGAGTCCATGGGAGATGCTGAAGGTTTTGTTTTCCTTTAGCAAGAGAGGCCACTCAGATCGTGGGGTGCCTATGTCACATTTGGTTTCATTTGCAAATCTACAAGCAGATTCCTAAACAGATACTGTTTCCTCCACTTTCAGCTATTTAATTGCACTTAAACTCTGTTTTCTGCTTGCCTCTCACCATGCAAAACTAGCACTGATTGTGCTAGTTCCTGATTGTGTGGAAGTAAGGAAGAGTGGAAATGGGACGGATGCTCGTGCCATCAGATTTAGACATGGACGGATCCCACACGGATCCCTTGGGGAGCTCGGCTAATTGGATGATGGCGATCTCAACCCATTAGGAAATCCATCCACAATTTAAAAACATGTGCAGAGAAACCGTTTAGCGACGCTGCACCCTGTGCCCACACCTATGTGGGCGTAAGCCCACGGGGCTTACTCTCAAGTAAACATCCGTAGGCTTTCACTGTCCGATCCCTTTCTTAAAAGTCCCGGGCGCTCCCGGGTTGCCCATTGCCCGGGCTGCGGAGCCGGCGGAAACTCGCAACAGTTATTCTTCAACTTTCCAGAACCAACGGCGTGGACAGCGCAAGAAGAGCAGTCGCGTTGCTGAATCTGCGAGGAGAAAGCCGAGGAAGCTGCTGCAGGTGACGCGAGAGGGTCGCACTTCGAGTCTCACCCGCTTCCTTCTCAACCTCCTCGCCTCGCTGCCCCCCTCCCTCTCTCCGCGTGGAAGCACCAAGTTATCTCCCGAAGAGCCTCTGCCGGGCGAGATAAGGCGCAAGGCGGGAACCTGCTCTGGGGTGGTGGCGGCGGCGGCGCGTTTGGTCCGGAGGCGGGAGCTGCGCGAGGGGTGGCGCGAGGGAGGGACGCAGCCCTTCCACTGCGCCAACCTGCAGTCTGGCGGCATCCATGGAGTGGGAGAGGGCGCGCGCCCCTCGCTTCCTGCCGCCGCCGCGTGCGCCCCTCCCTCCTCCTCCTCCTCTTCCTCCTCCCCCCTGCGCGCGCGAATGTGTGCCTGGCGCTCTCTGGGCCCGCCTTCCTTTCCGTGGCGCCCGCTGCCAGCCAGTGCCGCAAGGAGCCGTTTCGCGCGCCACTCGCTACTCTCGGCTGCCGCTCGGAGGGGGGCAACAAGCGGCGGCGGCGGCGGCTTCCCCCACCCCGCCTCCTCCGCGGGCACTTTGGCGCCTTCCCCCCCCTGAGCTTCCCGCTCTTTTCCCTCAGGAGGGTCTCGTGGGCTCTTCCGCCTCGGCTCTTTGTTTCCCGCCCCAGCCCCCCCCCCCGCTGCTTCGCCTTCCCGGGGGTTCTTCTTCTTCTTCTTCTTCTTCTTCTTCTTCTTCTTCTTCTTCTTCTTCTTCTTCTTCTTCTTCTTCTTCTTCTTCTTCTCCTCCCGGTTCCTTCTGCCGTCGCCGCCTGGACGTTGCCTTGTCATGTCAAGATGGAAGGCAGGAGCGACTGGCTCGCCTCGTCGTCCCGCCACGAGGGCTTCGAGCAGATGAGGCTGAAGAGCCGACCCCGCGAGCCGTCGCCCAGCCTCACCCGGGTGGGCTCCAACTTCTACAGCTCCGTCAAGCAGCAGGACTACAGTGCCAGCGTCTGGCTGAGGAGGAAAGACAAATTGGAGCATGTAAGCCACTTTCCCCCCCTTTTTGCTCCTCCCGGCTCATTCATTCTCACCAACAGCCCTGCCAGGCAGGCCACTCATTGCCCCCGTTTGGACAGGTGGAGGGAGAACCTCATGAGCTTTCCGCCGGGTGAAGCGTTTGCACCCGGGACTCTGCATGGCACAGGTCCAATGGGATCGTAGAATTGTAGGGTCCCCAAGGGTCATCTAGTCCAACCCCCTGCAGTGCAGGAATCTTTTGCCCAACGTGGGGCTCGAACCCAGGACCCTGAGATTAAGAGTCTCGTGCTCTACCAACTGAGCTATATATAAACATTGGTTCTGAGCATGGTCTGTCCCAACCCGGAGCTTCGCCCTAGAAACCCCAAATAGGTTCAACAACATGTGGGGGCTCTTGGGAAGAAGGGTCCCTAAGGCTACAATGTGATGCACAATGGCTTGGAAGTAAGTTCCATTAAACTCAATGGAGCTGTCTGCCAAGCGAGCGCACACAGGATTTCTCTGCAAAAGTGGGAGACGAGGTTCATTTCTCTTTAGGAACAGCAGGACATCAGAATAATTTGAACGGTCTGGATCACAGCCCTTCTGAATTGCGAACATGTCGCATATACAGAAAGTACGTGTATATGCTTAGTTCCCATTCTGTGGACTATTGTCTACTGCAGACCAATTTCACATCCCTTCCCTCTCCATGCATGTACATATGGGACAGCTTCAGCTCAAGCTGGGAAGTTACAGTACCTTTTATGATGTTGCAGAATTCCCCTCCAAGCGAGAACAGGTTGGAATGTTAGGGTGATCAGGATACCTGTGTTTTGCTTTTGCAATCCTTATTTCCTATTTGGAGCTGCAAACATTCTGTATTCCAGACATACTTTCCCTCCCCATCCCCTGTGTGGGATTTTAAGGCAGTGTGAAGTAGATTGCTTTCCAACATCAATTTCTGCAGCAGCAATGCATGTTAACTAAGTGGTTTTGGGACCAGGGAGAAGCTGTGGCTGGCTGCAATGAATATTTTATGGGGATTTTAAGGTGCTTGGAAATATTCCTGTGGTTCAGATGATTCAGAGCAATGGGCTCTTTTGTTCTTATGTAATTTGTAACAGTAAGAAATTGGATGAATGGCACCCTAGGTTAGCATCATCTGAATAGAGTATTAGATGAAGTCCGTAATTACATTCTCCCCCTCTAGGCACAGATATTATGTTTGCTGCATGCTATTGGGGAAGCATTGCTGGGTTTTACATTGCAGCAGGCTTGCTTAAGAAGACATGCATGCAGTTTGAAGCTGACTTTGTGACATAGAAGACAAGTATGCTGCTTTTATAAAATACATCAAAAATGTTGTAATGCAAGCAAGTTCCTTGAAAGAAATACTTGTATCAAAACATGTCTTTTGCAAACCTATTGACTCATTATAGTACCCACACATTATTTACACTTTGTTAGAAACTGATTCAGTGCCAAATGATGTAATCCAAAACGCAAAGATACAGCAGTAGAATAGCTGGAAGCTACAAAAAGTATTAAAATTCTTATCTGCATTACTATAAAGTATTATTTATTTGGGTGAGATCGCTAAAGGAAAGGATTGAGTATTCAATTTAAAAAAAAAACCTCCCCAAAAGGTACATGTTTGTGGCCAAATATAAGTTGCAGTCATGGTGATAAATGGCATTGTCAAGATTGATCAACTGTGGGATGTACTGTTCCTCAGCTGTGCTACTAGTATACCTGTCTATCTTGATTCAATAAGACTTGTCAATAGTGGCATGTGAAGTTTAATGAATGGCTGGTGGCTTTTCCTGAAATCTGGAATATAGAAATATCCATTTTCTCAACATTGGGTTGCATCCTATGTTAGTTACTCAAATGAGACCTATTGAAATTAATGGATATAAGTGAGGTCCATTAATTTCCATGGTTCTACTCAAGAGTGCAACTTAGCGGGATACAACCCACAGACTTTTACATGAACTACCTCTGTAGGTGAACTATCATTTTGCAAATCTTAACATTGCCCATTTCTAATCATAACAGTATGATTACTATCAAAGAAACAGTTAGAAAATTGCAGTGTGGGAACCGAGAACCAGAGTAGCCATATAGGCTCATTAAAACATTTCTGGTACACAACACCAGCACTTGTTTTATTTAACTTACTTGGATTTGTGAACTGCTGTATAGTGGTACCTCGGGTTACAGGCGCTTCAGGTTACAGAAGCTTTAGGTTACAGCCTCTGCTAACCCAGAAATAGTACCTCAGGATGAGAACAGAAATCGTGCTCTGGCGGCGAGGCGGTAGTGGGAGGCCCCATTAGCTAAAGTGGTGCTTCAGGTTAAGAACAGTTTCAGGTTAAGAACAGACCTCCGGAACGAATGAAGTTCTTAATCCGAGGTACCACTGTATTGACAATGGATAGCAACTTTTATAAAACAAAAATTTAAAATGTGTATAAACTTATGCAGAAAGTAAGACGGTCTTGTAGTGTCTTTGGAAGATGCTTAGGCTGTCTTTGACAAGAGTTGGAGAATTCTTTGATATAAGATGCATTCATATCCACATTTACCTAGGAGTTTTCCCAATGCACTAATTTCAGTAAATATGGGATGTTAATGCAATTATTTGACAGTATTGTATAATAAAGCTTGTGTAAAGACCATGACCATTTGAGTTCAATGACACTAAACTGCATACTTATTCAGTGGAACGTACTCCCAGGTATCCATACAAAGTATTGTAGCCTTAGTTAAACTCCACATAGTTTTGTTTCATTTGGCAGAAGGGAGATTAGGTTGAAATGTAGACGTGGAGCACATAATGGTCCTGCAGCAATGTGAAAACATTTCCTATAACCTTTTTCAGATAGATGTAGTACAGTACAGCGGTACCTCGGGTTACAGATGCTTCAGCTTACATACGCTTCAGGCTACAGACTCCACTAATCCAGAAATAGTACCTCGGGTTAAGAACTTTGCTTCAGGATGAGAACAGAAATCGCGTGGCAGCAGCAGCAGCAGCAGGAGGCCCCATTAGCTAAAGTGGTATCGCAGGTTAAGAACAGTTTCAGGTTAAGAACAGACCTCCAGAACGAATTAAGTTCTTAATCTGAGGTACCACTGTATTCATTGGGATTGTGCAGTAATCTATAATTGTGAATGCACTGTGATATAATGCAGTAGCTGACAGAGGGCAATGGGTTTGATGTCATACCTATAGGGCTCAGGTGTGGTCTTTTTAAAGGGCCCGCCCCTCAGTTCTGATTTGACAGCCTGTCTTCTGATTGGGTCTACCTCCTTCCATAAGAGGCTCTCCTCCCTTCAGTTAGATGAAGACACCAGAAAGGGAGGATCAATGCCAAGCTTTTTCCATCAGCTATTGAACCACTCTTTGAGCAGCAGAGATGATACTTGCTGAAAGGAGGCTCCCCACAACAGTGGCAGGAGAGGTAAGATAACCTGGGATACTTGAGACATCAGCTGTTGATGCCCATACCCTGGCCTTGTTATGGCTGAGATAAAGAATACCCAAGTGTTTAGGTGTCCCTGGAGCAAAGTACATTCTGGACCACTGTGGATTTGGGGCATTCCTTTTCTTTTCCTCTAGGGCTTGAAGGATGAGAGGAAATCCTGATGTTGATTCTGGTCATTATGATACCATGGGTCATGATATCTTTGTGTTTATGGTAAAACTGATGATGGTCCATTGCTCCATGGATATCAGCCATGGAGCTTGTTGGATCTGAAAGAGTAGCCCACTCTTGCTTTTAATAACAGTGACAAAACCTTCTAATATAGCTATGTTTTGCACAGGGGTGGAGCCTCCCTGTCAACATGGTTGTTACCTTTCATAATTATCCACATTTTGGGGTCTATGTAGCACATTACAGAGAATGAGTCTGTGATGCATTTATATTGACACTATACTTCAGATATTATATCCAAGTTCAGCTAAGTAAAAACCTTTAGCAGATCTCACTGGAATTGCACTTGAGACAAGTTGGTCAACCATATGCTTCTTGTGAAAAATGCCTGTAAGCTAAGGGCAGAGCACACTGAATTGTTTTCAGATGATAAGAATGATTTTCTGATTTGACAGGTTTTAGCTTAGTCAGTATGTACTTTGCAATATACTTACTGAATGGTGAGCTCAATATATAGTCAACCAAAGTACTTGTAAATTCAATATGGCTAGAATATGTTGGACAATTTTATCTAAGTTTGTGCACATATGTGCATTATTTCATTATTTGAAATTTCATGATCTGTCTTGAGTGCGCAAGATATGTTTGATACTAATGGGTAAGGAGATGTTAATAGCGTATAAAAGAACATCACACTTTGTACATTTACAAAAGGTACAAGACCATCTGGTGCTGAGTCATAGAGACAGACTAGGGTTGCAGTTGGTGTACTGCTCACCTTGCTTCCTACCTGCCTCTCTGGCCAACCTGGCTGAAGTGATTTCAGCAGTGATGTTGGAGAAGCTCAAGGCTGTGGTCCTGGATGAGCTCAATACCCACACGGGGACCACTACTAGCATTTCTTCTCAGGACTTCATGGCTTCCATGTAAACAACGGGATTGTCTCAAGTGGTCATTAGTCTGACACACAGAGTAGGGCATACTCTTGATTTGTCTTTGCCTCAAATGATGCAGGTTGTGGTCTGAATAGTAGGGACAGGCTGTGTAACTCTGTGGTCACAATCAGACTACTGGACCTGCCTGCAAGTGCTCCAATTGGAGAACAGCCTTTACCAAAGGTGCCGTGGACTTAATGGGTTGGGTTCACCTAAGGAGCATTATTAGTGGAACCTTTGTGCAAAGACTTAACTAATGCAATTGGGGCTTCCCCCCTTTCCACTCCCATGTGCCCCCGCCTCCCAAAGTTGTTGGGGGATGGAGAGAGCCGCCAGAACAGTTTGTGGGAAGACAAGAGGTGGGATTGTTCCATCTGGCAAGCTGAAATGCTTGCACAAATGGTATGTAATAGCAACACTGAAT